AATATTTACAGTATTGATGGATTTTCCTGAAAAAGATGTTTTACAGAAGGTGAAGAAAAAATAGGAAATAAAATGACTCAACAAAACTTGACTCAACAATAATAGGAAAGAAATAGAAGGAAAAAGATAATACTCAAATTCAGAAACTGAATCAGAAGAGTGGTATTTTTTGGCTTATGGTGAATATAACGTAGGTTAGGTAAAGTGCATCATTTATAAGTTGTGGGCACATGTAGGATATGTTAAAGGAGCAATGTATTACACTTACTTCATATTTTTTAAAATAAAACTAAAACTGAATGATTTGAGGTAATTTTTGTCATTTTAGCCCAAAACCGGGGTTGTAGGATTCATTGTAAAACAATGAGCATTGGTTGAGATAATTTTACTGATTAGATAGAGGAATATATACAGCATTTAGAAAGAAATATAATCGGTGAATCTCAAAATATAACTAGTGAGGTGCATGGCATGGTATCTTAAGGCAAATTGCTGGATCTTCCTTCATTATTAAATCTCTATAAAATATCTGATAATTTAAGGTACATATGTCCAATTAACATTTTTGTCCGCCAAATAACTTTTTTTTTGAGAGTACATTACTGCTGGACTTGCCTTCCCAAAAAATTAATCAGTTTTTCATCTTATCAAAAAAAAATAAAATGTTTTTTTAATTATTAAAATCGGACGCTCCGTTCTCTTAAAAACTGAGTTACAGATAATGACAATGTGAAATATGTTCGTTGGATTTACGTAAAACTATTCCAGTATTTTAACAAAATTCTTAATTGCACAGACGAAGGATAATATTTCACACATATACCTTTTACCAGGTATTTACGCTCTGAATGTAATTAATTACTAATAATTACTAATAATTACAGATTTGTAATGGTCTGTTGGCGTTGTCCATAGATTATCTTTTGTTATCGTACTAAAAGGTCGGTTATAGCAAAATAAAACTCTTTACACTATAATAAATTATTTTGTGCGATAATAAAAATCATCGACACTCATGAAAATTTTATAGCAAGGTTCAATATGTAATGTCACAATATTTTTTTTGTAATTATGATATATGCAAAATAGGTCATTAACACAACGAGGTTGTAAATATTTTTATAAATTTTAAGAAGACATTGTGACATGATAATTTGCGTTTTAAAATATATAGTAATTGATATCATTTTATACGTATTTTTTTGTTAAACGTATCTATAAATTATACAATGTTTGGGAAATTAATTCGATTTGTTTACAGGTAGAAATAAAAAATTTTATGTTTTGGGGACTTATATAGAAAGGTTTGTGTCTGAAAAAAACTATTTATTTCTTGGTCCTTTGGTGGTTGCCCATATATCTCATTGTTTTAATGATCAATTGATAGAAGGAGAAAATTGCAATTCAAGCCAGCAAGAAAATGACCGATGTTTATGAAAAATGGTTAGTTTATAGAGAATGGTTCATTGAATTCTTATCTGCAAATAATCCGCTTTTGAAGGGCATCACCACTCGTGACAAAAAATTACTCGTATGAAATAACATCAAATGCAATATAGGTCATGCGAAAAAGATAAACTAGCCCAAACCACTTCCAGAAACCATTTTCACCAAAAAAGTGATGTTGTCTGTTTGGTGGAACTTAAAAAAATCGTTTCTGCTTTGAGCTTTGAGCTTTTACCGGATAACACTATCACGATTATTTCAAAAGTCTACTAGCATCAGCTAGAAAAACTAAATGCAGCACATCAAAAGTAAAGGCTACAGCTAAAGCTGTTGCAAAAAAAAATTAACAGACAAAGTGTAATGTTTCGCTATGACAACATGAGATCTCTCATAAAAATGGTTGGTCACTCGCCAAAATCTTCTATAGCTTGTATATATGCACCATATGCTCCAGATATTGCTTTATAGGATTATTATTTATTCTGATCACTATAATACTTTAAGATGGTGAAATATTCACCTTAAATGATAAGGCAAAAACACATCGAGATGAGTTTTTTGTCAGCAAAGACCAAAGATTTTATGAGCTTAGAAATGTGACGACAAAAATTATTGGACTACGACAGCTAATATATAATTTTCATAAAAAAATCCGATTTGCTAATTATATGTTTTCTCGACGTTTCAAGTCATTCTGAATCGAATAAAATCAAATTTGGAGATAGTATGTGTGTTTATATGTGTGTGTGAACAGATATTTTCCCGTAAATCGACGTTTTCTCAAAAACGGCTGAAATGATTTGAAAAATTTTAAAGCCATTCGATGTATTTCGATGACGACTAGCGTTTGTCAGTTTTGCGGTACGATCAGCCAAGCCGTTGCTTTGTAAATAGGAGAAAAGTGAATAATTTTTTATCCATGTTTTAGACTACAATTCTGAATCGATTTTGAAAATTTAAAAACCGTTCGAAAGATATTGGTTGGAAATCGACCTAGTTTTTGGTAAATATAAGCCGGGTTTTCTTGTAATGAATTGTTAAAAAAAATTTCGACGTTTTTTATGATTTTTTTTATGCTAAATACCATAGTCTTATAGATCATACTTAAATATTACGGTCTACGACATGTTGTTTAATTTTAAAAATTTGTCCAAAGATTGCAAAAAATTAGACCTTTCATCGACGTTTGCTCAAAAACCC